TCGAGATAACGAAAGAAATGAAAAACTATACAAATTTTATTCAAAAAGAAATAATGTGCGGGATACATATAGAAGACACATAATTGTGCGAACATAAACACAATCGATCGGACAATGGTAGCGTGCGTGCGTTTTGAAGTGTGGGCTTTCATCCCACGTGACGAAAATAAGTGCTGCTATAGCCTATAGGAAATAAAATCTTTTGAATGCTATTTTGATAATAAAAAAGAGGAAAAGAATATTATTCAGATAAATTCGCCAATTATATGAGTCTATCAAATAAAAAATTATCATTAGTCTTTTTACTATACAAAAATTATATCTCAGCCTCAGGTGCTGGAGTAAGACAAGAAGATCCTATTCCTCCCTACCTCTTCATATTGGAAATGAATGTTTTATCTGTGTTACTCATATTTGGTCGGTTCCTGTGGAGTATTGCCTTCCATCAACTGTAAAAGATTGCACTTGACTTGATTATTTAGAAAGGAAATGCTGATTCTATTAAAGAATTTGTATTGTTCTGGACTTCTTTTATAGGATCTCTGATTTGAAAAAGAATAGTGTTGACGGTGAGTTGTATAGTTCGAGAATCCCTCATTCCAAGCTTGAGGAAATTGTGGAAAGCACTGAGTTGAAGTTGGGAAGCTTACCAGTTAGGTATTTCAGTATACTTGGATACTTGGATATGCAGGTAAATACATTATCAGTTAGGGTTGAAAATGAATCTGATATGTGTTTACAAAACTTACTTGAGACTTGAGAATTGACGATCAAGATGCCCAGCAGTATAGGGATGGTTACAATCTAAGAAATTTGCATCATGTAATTATTTCTCTACTCTTTCTTTCTTTCATGGACCCCTGCTGTCATAATCTTCTTTCTCTGGCTCTCATGGCAGTAGTGAAGCCTTGGAAGGGGCAGCTGTCTTTCCAAAAGTGATGATTATCTTCCTCTATGTTCCTTATGGGCACCACAAACTGTAAAAACAACCACCTATCTAGCTATCTTCCCTTTTCTAAGGTTCTTCAGCCACCATGTCTCTGATGATTTTCATGTGTCCTTTTGTCAATAGGGCACCTTGTCTTTCTCGTCTCAGCTTCATTATGCACACAGTTCAACAAATGACGAGACAATTCGTGCAGAAGACGGATCGGTTTTGGGAGTTTCACAAGCAATCAAACACCCGAGTTGAAGCTAAAACTTCCTTTTGATCTTGTATCCTGTGTTTGATGACTGTACTAAAGTGGGATTGATTGATCAAACAAAAAGGACCAAGGAAGGGAACTTGGGAAACAAAAAAGATGTTTCTAACCAAAGGAACAAGACGATGAGGAGATGGTAATATTGGAAGACTAGATGAGAACTCTTACACGGTATTGCCTGTAAGAAAAAGGATCTCCTTGACTAAAATGTCTGTTACATCCATTTGGGTGACCGGTGAAAGCGGGTCTATCTATAAGAGGTTCTGGAATGGAGTTCAGTGGGTTATAGCGCCACATGATTTGCATACATCGGCAGGTTATGCGGTCTCAGTCATGATTGTCAACCAGACAATTCTTGCAATCTCAGAGAAAGGAAGCCTATACCAGGTACCACTAAGCACCAATTGCTTCAAGTTTTACCTTCTATCAAATAATATCAACTGTACAAGATTGTATGGTGAAACTTCCAAGTACTTTTTCAGATGCAACTGGGTGACAACTCGCGGCCGATCTGGGTGGAGTTCGAGCCTGCATTCAATCGAAGTACAAACAAAGAAGCAAACCAGAGTTCAGTGGTTTAGATAAAGTCCGCTACTGTTTCATATGATGGGCTGTAAGTACATTAATGAAGAGACATAGTCAAATTTCATTTCACCATATAGACGATGTATCTCTACTAATAGTTTCTTTATTTTTCTGAACTGAACGCAGGAAAGTGTGTTTCTGCACAAAGAATGGTTTTTTGCTAGAACTCAGTGAGGTTGAGACTCCAAGGTAGGAAACTTTTCCTTTCAAAGTCATAATGCAAGTATAGAACTCCATTCATTGCTACCATTGACGCCATGAGTCTCATATGCCGGTATATAAATAAGATTCATATTTCAATAGGTGACTGATATGCATTACAGATTATGTGCTGTGATTGTGAACATAGAACAGGTGGGAGAATCATGGCCAACCACCAGGAGCATACGTCACAGAAGTTGCCGACACAGATGTAGTATATACAATCAGGTGCTCTCTCTTTCTCTCCATGGTACAGACACACACACATCAATAGATTACCAAAGTGAGGTAAACATGAAATGGTGCAATAGTTCTGCAGGCAGCCTTTATGAATATGATAAGATCTCGAGGCCATCATGGAAGAAGCATCTACAGAGTGAAGAAACAGAAATAGGGTTCTCTAGTACCCTTAACGGGGAGCTCAGTACATGTCTCAAGTCCGTATCGTTGTTTCTTCTAACAAAGGTACCCTGCATAAAAAAATTCCTAATATCACTGATGCTCACGAACTAATAACACATTAGAGCATCACAAGACATGGACATTGGTGGTAATGCTCAATCCCACATAGTATTGGAAACACTATTGGGAATGGTATTTAAGGCTTGGCTTTCCCACTTCTTTGTTGAGTGAAGAGAATAAGGGGTACTCTCGCGCACCGCTGCCGCCGTCCGGCTCGGCTCGGCTCGTGGTAATACGTGTCTTCGACACGTCCACGTGGATACTATCTTTTTAGAGAAAATTCTTGAAGAATTTCTCTTTGAAAGAAACAAATAGAAAAATGATGGTAGACATGCAAACAGATTCTTTGACAGCTCTACCATTATAACAAAGTGACAGGGTAGTGGCATGAGCATCACCAATCTCACCATTTGCAGCTGTCCAGTATAATAATTTTAGGATTAACTTCACTCAATCCAAACGTAGCGGTTTGAATTCAAAATCTCTAAGAAAAACAACACTTCATTTTATCATAGAGATCAGTTTTATAAACATAAATATTATAAAAAATATTATAAAATTGTATTTGTATAATAATATTATATAAACATGTTTAGTAGCTATATGGACCCATGAGATGGGCCACAATGAAGTTAATTATATGGACCCACTTGATATATATATATATATATATATATATATATATGTATGTATGAGGGAGACATTATTTTTTTTTTTTGATAACGTAAGACCTATCAAGGTCGGGTTAAAGAACCCAACCCTACAAGGCAACCTCCGGAGGGGCTCAAAGAACCCACCATTCTGTCCCCCTGCTTTTTTCCAAGATTCCCAACCAGCGCAGTTCGAACCTAGGACATGAGACCATCTCATAATTTCGCACCCAACATTACATGTGCTATGTTGGTTGGACTGCCCCCATTTGTTTATATTATCTATATTCTCGACATTATACAAAACTCCATTTATATGCAATTTTTCCTCATTATCAAACCACTTGTTTTTTGCCTAATTAGTCATTCCATTATTTGCCATAAACTTGTAATATTTAGTTTTCTTCTAATTAACTGAGAAAAAGAAACAAAAACCCAAGCTGCTTATCTAATCATTGAAGGGGCCCTTATCATAAATAAATAGAGAAGAAGAAAGAGCTGAAATCATGGCTTAATTAAGTAGGAAAATATTGTACTAACTAGATAGTGGCAACACTATTTTTGACCCAAATGTAAGAAATTATTGAATCTCATTATATTTTATTTTTCCCAATAGAATTTTCAAATAATTCAATAAAAATATTAAAAATCATTATTTAATGTTCTAGTATAATATTAATAATTTCATATATAAATCTCCTATCACTTTATTTATAGTTATTAGTTGAATATTTTTTATAAATATAATTTTCAACTAAAAATTTTTGTTTCCTCATGTCATGAATATGATAAAATCTAGCTTTTCTAAATTATTTTATTTTTAGAAAATAAAATTTCAAGTAATGGTAACATAAAAAAATAAGTGAAGCTAGTTGTGGAATAACAATTTCAAAAGGCACTCTTAAAAGTTATCGAAATATAATTTATAATATTATTATTAAATGAATAAGTCAATAATTTCATTTATCATCTTAGTGTATGTAGCATTTTTATCACTTGAAAAGTTACTTTCAAGATAAAAAATAAGCAAAAACAAAAAAGTGAAAAAGGGTGAAGATTTTTCTCAATGACATTTAACCTAAAAAATCAACAGTATGTGAAGATAATTATGATTATGATATTGATGCGTGCTGACTAGTTATATTATCAACCTTGTAGTGTATAAATTTATTGAATTGAGACTAAAATTTATTTTATTCATTTTATATTGAGAACTTGTATTATATAAATTTTTTAATGTATTTATATATTTGTAGTATATTTATGTTTGTGTTTGAATGAAAAATATATATGTATTATGAGGGAGCAGTTGTGTAGGCAGCACAAATGCACATGCCATTAAAAATATAAGAGCACATGGATATGTAGAGAGAGAGAGAGAGGACCCAATCTGATTTAGTATTAAAATATTAAGACAAAAGCATAATAAGAGCACCAAAATCCATTAGAAAAAATGGGTGTTGGCTGAAAGTGAAGGGAGTGAGTGGTACCCAGATATTCACATAAAATTTTGTCAGAAATCATGTGACACTGTGGCCCTTACCCATTCATCCACAATATGAGACAAAAGTGTCCCCTAACGTTTACTTTAACCACATGATGAAAGAAAAAGAACTCCCCTTTTATCTCACTTTTTTTTTTACAGTTCTGCCAGTTTCATTTCATCACAATCTAATGGCTGACAGATACTGTAAAAATAATAACTTGAACGCCAGCAAAGAAAAACACCCAGAGTCAAATCTTTTTTATCTCCTTTCCCATTTTGGGTCTTCCATACCAGTATAGTTGTTAAGCTTCTGGAAAAGTACTTTTATAACTTCTTGGGGGCTCTAATTCTGTACACAGTGACATAGTTCATTCATATAGTACTTTTTTTCAACTCAATTTGAAAGAAAAAAAAAAGAGGTGGAAAAAGTAAAAGGAAAAGAGTAAAAAATAAATTACAATATAAAATAAAAAAAAGGAGCATATTAGTTACCGCCACTACTAATATCCTTTGTTTGTTTCCACACAATTTGTTATGTGGTCCAGCAATTAGAGCGTCACCAGTAAGGAAAGGCCAAAGACCCCACTGCATAACAGTTCCTCTGTCCTTTACCTATACATATATATTTATTATGTATTTTGACTGTAAATAGTATTGTATTGATGATGATGGTGATCTTTCGATGATCTTGTCTTACAGATCTTTTTTCCTTGCTTGTATGGTTTTTTGGCTATACGCCTTTGCTTTTGGTTTAATCTTCCATGTGTATGCATAATTGTCACTGATTCTGCAAAGGATTAGGAAAAAACAGTTCTAACATTATGAAAATGATGGGATTTGATTGAGATTCGGAGGTGCGATAGTGATTTTCTTACCCTGGCAAAGTCGATTTTCCTCCATTGTTGGCTAGCTACATGCCGACGGTTCCTTGCCCAGATGAAAACCTTTTACAGTAAAAGGTTAATCATAATTAGCTTCCACTGGTTTTGTTGGATGATATGGCAATGGAAAGTGATGATGAATGATGATATACCTTGGCATTTGTAGAAGATATGTTTTAAGGGAAGCCATGTTGAGGCCGGAGGCATTACCATTAGAACATGAAGTAGTCGGAGTTCCGGTTTTGTTGTCAGCTTCTACATCCACTGCAGATGAGGTGGAGAAGACGGCGAGGTGATCACCAGCTGATTTCTTCGGAGAAGTGAATAGGTTATCGGGGAGAACAAGCTCCAAGCTGTTCATACGAGGAAAGCATTACGTCGATCACCAAAAGCCACCACAAAGCAGTATAGTTATTATTTTGCTCATCTACATTTAGCATTTAAGTTATATACCAATCAGGGAGATCACTTTCTTCGGTATTGGCCTTCGCCTTAGTGTTACTATTACCACTGTCATTTTTATAATTACAAACTGCATTAATATCCTCCATCTGCTTATCATCTTTCGTAGCAGCAGCCAACTTGGAAACAGCTGAGATCGCGCAACCACCTTTCTCTGCAGCCAAAAAGGTAAACCGGATCGATAAATTGAACAGTAAGGTAACTTGGTTCATATGGTGATCAAACCAAAGTCGAATTTAAACTGTTTCCGAACCTTCAGGGACTTCTTGATTGATGCCATCAGCAGGAAAAATAAGTGCGTGATTGTTGGGAGTACGGGGTACAGTCGGTGAAGGAATGGGGGATCCGGTGGACAAATCGTGACGGAACGGAGATTGGTGCTGGTTCTTCAAGTCCAGCAGCTGCAAGTTCATTAGCCTTCTTCCTTGAAGCTCAATGGCTTGCTGCAAATCAGCCTGCTCCTCCAGTTTCCTTCTCATCAGCATCTCTGGAGTATTGTAAAACATTTTCGATCCTAAATAAGTTTGGATCGAAATCGAAGTTCACCAACAATGCATCAAAACTTGAGATAAAAAGCAAAAGGCCTGGTTTTACTTACCGAGATGGAGATCGAATGGCTCCCTAGAATCAATTGCAGACGGACTCGAGCAGGCCGAATACTCTCCTCGTTCCAATTGCTTCCTATAATTAGATCGATTAGATAAAGTACATTCACTTAGAGATCAAAGTTGGCAAGATAGTGCCAAAAAAAAAAGAGATAACAAAGAGCCTTACTTCTCTTGAACTTTCCCTTTCTCCTTGTATGGTTTAACAAGCACCCGAGAATCGCAGATGAAATGAGGGTTCCCTTTAGCTAAAATGAGCCTCACTGTCTCTGGATATACAAATGTAACAAAACCAAACATCCTCTTTTGCTGGTAAGGAATCCTCACATCTTGTACTGGTCCATAAATGCTGAGAAAATCCAAAGGGAAGCAATAATCTTTAAACTCTAAACTCAGAATAATTATAACAATCTTAAAAAAATCAGAGACTTTACCTAAAATAATTTGAAACATCTTCTTCTTTGAAAGAACTGTCAGCTGGGAAGGTCAAATAAATCTGTCTAGAACACGGATTAGCTGCTGCTCCTAAACCCATCGCCGAATAATCGTTTCTTTCAGGCCGGCACCGCCCTAACTTATGAAGCTCATCACCCATCATTAAAGCAGCCATGGCTGATCTGCCGTAGCTATTATGATTGTCGTTCTGTTGTTGGAGAAGGAGATTAAGATCCTTGCCGTATGGGAAAGAAGTCCCGGACATGAACTGAGAAGCTGAAGCAAGATTTTGTTGCTGTTGTTGAAAAGATTTTGATCTAAGTAGCTCCTGGTACTGCTCCAACTCGTTGAACTTACTCGGAGAACCAACGAGAGCAGCTCCTCCGTCGACACAATCTTCATGAAGAAACCTACAGCTAGTACCGTTCTTACAGAAGCCTCTCGCGAAGTACAAACAAGGTTTCCATCCAATCCCGGAGTTGACATCATCGGCAGCACCAAAACACAGACCGGTAACAGAAAAACTCCTCCTGTGTAAAAGAGAATCGGGCATTGCCAAGTCAAGCCGAGGGCTGAACAAATCTTCGGGTTTCGAGTCGTTGAGAAACGAAAGATGGTCGTGGAACTGGTAATTGTCGATGAATTCATTGTCATCGCCATTTGCAATGGCGCTGCTTCGATTGACAACACTGGAATACGAAAGATTGGAATTTGGGATTGAGGTCGACCAGGAGGTGGTGGATGGAGAAGAAGGGATGGATAAAGGGGTTGGCTTGGAGGAGAAAAGAGGAGAATGGGGAGTGGAAGGTGTTGGTGGGTTGGAAGTGGAGAGACCCAAGCGGGTTTTGGCTTCGAGGATTAAAGAGTGGATGTGAGCTTCGGGTCCAAAGGCTAAACGGATCATTTCCTTCTCACCATGGTCTTGGATAAGAAGATAACCCATGATTTTCGAAGCGTTTTCAGGGTCTAAGCTTTGGATCCTTGACAGCATTATCCTCGTTGCTTCATATAAATCCATGGAAAAGTGCTTTCAGTTCCAGGGACAAAGTGATGGAGGGAAATGAAAGGGAAGAAAAAGCAGATAAAAAAGAGAGCAAAAGGGGCAATAATGGCTACTGATTAATATTATTATAATAATTATAAGTATTCTGAGGAATATAATGACTTCAAAGCTTCCTCCTCTCTAAAGATGAAGACAAAGGTACGGTGTATCTTCCTCTTTCCTCACTGTAAGAAAGGTTGGAAATTAGAACCCACACTGCAGCCAAAGCCTTGATTTTCTTTGTTTTTTTCATGGTTTGTTTAATTACTTGTTTTCTGGTTTCACCATATGCGTATTTGTGTTCTATTTAATAATTCGGGTCCTCTAGGGGGGAGCAAGATTCCGAAAATCAATTTTTTTTCATTTTACTATATTTTATTTCTAGTTATAATTTCATAAATTTAATTTAATTTTATAAAAATTTAATTTTAATTAGATTATAAAATACAACTCAAATAATTCAAATAGTAACTTAAAATCTTAAATAATTCAAAATTCTTAATAACTAGTAGATCTATTTTTCAAGTTTGAGTTGAGTCTCTCAACTCCGTATGATATATGTATATCACATATGAAAAAAATATGAATAAATATATATGCATTGTACATGGTTATAAAATATTATTTAAATTGGAATCGAATATGTCATAATATTATAAATATTTACAATTAAATTTAAATTTAAACTCAAAAACTTGACTCGAATTTTATAAACTTAGCTCTACTCGAAAAAAATTCAAATCAAATATAAAATAAAACTCATCAATTCAAATAACTCAAAAAATTTTGACTCGATTCGATCGATGTTTATCCCTACTCTGGATCATATATATATATATATATATATATATATATATATATATATATATATATATATATATATATATATATATATATATATATATATATAATAAATTTACATAATGTTTATATTTTATTATTTAATATATTGGTATTTAGAATGATAAATAAAATAAATATATGTGTAATTTTATTCAACATAAATAAATCATAAAATATTTTATGAAATATTATATAATCTCCATGCATAAAATATTATACTATATTTTAATTAGTAATATCAAATACTAAAATATAAATCCTAAAGTATCATTTTTCTCGTTGATAAATAGTTAAATGCGACATTCTTATCGGATAAGTGGATAATCCATTTCTCTCTCCCTTTAGTTTTATTTTTCGCCGTGACAAGTGTAACTTAATAAAATTATGGGCATGAGACTCGAACCCAACATGTTTCGATCTAATTAGATTGGATTTTTTTAAATGGGTTCGAGTCGGGTCATGTTTGGGTTTAGAATGAAAAATATTCGACCCAACCTGACCTAAAAAATATAATTTTACCTTATATATTTATGAATAATTATAATAATATCCCTCTATATATTATTTTTCAATTAAATAAATGTTTTTATTAAATAAAAATATTTTTTATTATTTTGGGTCGGGTTAGATCTGGTTCGAATTTTATCTCAAAAAGTCAGGTCGAGTTCGGGCCGGTAAAGAGTATATATTTTTTGGGTCGAATGAATGATGTAAAATTTTTTAGTCTGGTCGGATTGGCCGAATCCCGACCCATGCCCCTCCCTAGATATAACATAAATAATTAATTGATTTAAAAAGATAAAGTGTTAAGTTTTAAAAATATTTTTATTAGTATAGAGTACTTATAAGGTAAGATATATTCTAAAAGTTCTCAATTATTTGACAATAGAAGTTCAAATACTATTGTAATTGATCTCGAGTTTGGGTCTTTGTGTATGTAGAAAACCTTCGATGGAAGACATACACACTAAAACTAGGTGTGTGATGCGAATATATCTAAATTAGTCAAAGCAAACCTAAGATTTCTAGAAATAACAATCATTCATTTAATCATTAAAATAGTTTGGTTCGTGCATTTTTAAAATAAAATTTAAATATTGTAAATGAAGCAAATTAATTTGAGAAATATTTTCAAAATGGACCTTCACAATATTATCTAGATTATTTGACTAATATATCTAATTTTGATTATTAAATAAATAATAATAATAATAATAATAATAATAGATATAATAATATTAAAGGTTCTTTTAAGGTATATATTTACAGTTTCACAAATTTTTATATGTTTGACGCTTAAAAGATTTTTTTCAATAAAAAGGTTAAATATATTAATTATTTTTATTTAAATAATATAAAAATATAAAAGAATCTCTAAATCATATTATTTGTTATTTAAAAAATGTTCCAATTATTTTTCAATTGAATCATATCATTTATTATATGACACCAATTAAATGTACTAAAAAGTTATAAATTATATTGTTGGACTAATTTTTTTCCAGATAAAGTTATAATAAACATGTAAAGTTAAGAATTATAAAGTTACAACAATTATTAAGAAAAATATTATTTTAATTAAAAATTCTGAATTTAAACAATTATATTAATAAGATAATCACTCATATTATTAGAAGAAAAAAAAACATGCACAAGTTAAACTTTTAAAAAGTAAATTTCTCGGTGTAATTCAAAAATAGGGAGGTGACACACGCGGACTTTACAGCGCGTGAATAAAGAACCCTTTTGGTATCAAATTACTGCACGTTCACTTGCATCATTCTGACAAACTTCTTCTCCCGTACTGCGTGCTGTAATTTAAAATGGGATTTTGATTTTAGCAGCGGAGTTTTGACTACCTGCATGTGGTCCCACGGAACACCTCAATTCGCCACCACTTGAATTTTTTCTCTAGATTTTGAAACGGAAATCATTTTTGGTAATTTAAATAATGATAAATTTTAATTTAGTTTTTAAAAATTATAAAATAAAATTTCTTATAAGATAAGCACCGTATTATTATAATCATTAGTTAAAATGACATGATATATTAATAGACACGATGCTCTGTTGAGCTCTAAAGGAGTCTTGATCTATTCAAAATTTTATATATTTATATATTTTAGTCTAATAATATTTTAATTCATATACAAATAAATATTCAAATAAAAAATATATATAAGAAATTATCGAATATTTAATCAAGTATAGAATAAACTAAACAAGGATGTTTGTATTAGGGGTGTAAACGAGCTGAGTCGAGCTCGAGAATTCCTGAGCTCGACTCGACTCGAAAACACTGAAATGAAGCTCGAATCAACTCGAAAACTCGCGAGCTTAAAATTTTTAAGCTCGACTCGAACTCGAAATCCTGAACTGAAGGTCGTGAGCAGCTCGAAATGGAAAAAAATCTTAAACTTAACTAGATTAAAGCCTCAAATTCGAACATGAATCTTAAATACATAAAAATCTTACTGTATTTTTAAAAAAAATCAACTCATAAATGTTAATATTATTAATAATTTATTTTTTAAAACAAAATCTTAATATATTATATTTTCGAGCTGCTCACGAGTTTTTCGAGTCGAGTATCAAGTAGCTCGTTTCGGCTCGTTAAGAATTCGAGTCGAGCTCGAGCTCGAGTCAAGTTCATTCGATCTGAGTATTTATCGAGCCTTGACCGAGTCGATCTCGAGTAGCTCACGATCTGTCTCGTCCCATTTACAACCCTAGTTTGTATTGTCAATTTTTTTGTCCAATAATAATTTAAGTCATTGTAAGTTTAAATATTTGACAAATCAAACATTGTATTTATAATTTTAGTTTAAATACCTAATAAACTATTGTATTTTTCTTAAAAAATATAATATTTCAACCTTTGCCAATGTTCAATTTTGACTTCGTCTTTACGTATTAATACCAAATATCTATAAAATAGATTGTTAAAATCTCGCAGTTGATACATTATCTCTCTTCTGAATTGTGTGTTTAATATCAATTAGAAACAATATTTTCATTTTCTCCCTCTAAGTAAGTATTGTTAAAAAAAATAATTAATAATATTATACCTTAAATTAAGTGTGGGTTTAAGCATTTTTTACATGTGTCCTTAGTCATTTTGCATTTCAATTTTTTAAATTTATATGAATGAATTGTATTGCGTCTAAGTCAGCCTTCGTTGAAAACAATAAAGGAATGAGATATCTGAGCCTCTGTCGAAAGATTGAGAGGAATTCAAACCGTAGTAAATTAAAATTAGTGGGATAGGGTTCCTATGATCGAGATGTATGTAATGGCGGGACAAATTATAATGTCACATAACGACATTAGCCGAAATGAGCAGTTCATACGGGGGATATGAACAAGTGCATTAGATTGGATAAGGGAAAATGTCATTGCATGTGAGTCCGACACCATAACATGTGCATTAGTATCTACAAAATATGTTTTATGCAAATTAGTGAACTTGCCTAAACTACCATACTTAGCTAAAATCATTGGAGAATAAAGCATGTTTTTTTATTTGATAATGTTGTTATGATTTCCTTAAATCAAGGGATTTTATAGATAAGTTTTAATCTCAACAGTTGATATATTTTAATTTAGGATATTGATGTTAGGTTTCGAGTATAAATAGAGGCTTACACGAATAATGTATGTCATTTTAAATTAGTTTTCAAATTTTATTTGCTTAACTATAACCTCGTTATAAATTAGTCATAAACTTTTAAACATTCTAATTTAATTATAAACTATCGATATATATTAATCATGTGAGCTATTAATAAAACTATTAAAAATTATTGTCATATAAATACTTATGTGTATTATGTAATAATAGTAGGTGACATAAATAATAATTAATGTTGGTTTTAAATAAAATAATAATTTAACTTTGGAATGAAGAAATAATTATAAATAATTTGAGAAGACAACAAAAAATCAAGGAATCTTTCAACTTCACTTTAAATAAAGATTTTCGAGGGACGTGATACAACATTAATTTTCATTTATGTTACATTATATTATTACACGATACACATCGGTGTTGATTTGATAGTTAATTTTTTAATAAATTTATTAACATAAAATGTTATTAACATATACCAGCATTCATAAGCTTTAAATTAATTTTAAATAAGAATCATGGTTTATAATAAAATTAAAATATTTAAAATTTTAAAGATTAATTTAAAATAAAAAATATAATCTAAAAAGAAAATTAGAATGAGAGTCGTATTTTGAAATGTATGATTCAATTAATTAAATTAATATAAATATTTTGTTTTTATTTTTTTAAAATTCATGGAAAGCACATGTGTCAAACATTTCAACATGCCCCTGCTGAAAAATAATAATTGAACATCATGATTTATTTATCATAAAAAGTAAAAAAAGAAAAGTTACAAATAATTGAAACCACGCCTTCCCATATGACATTCATAGATAAAATTTTGACCCCAAACTGAATGTGAGTTCAAATATTTCTGAAATGCTCCCACATATATATGATGAAAAAATTTTAACCGTTGGATTCTAAACTTCAACATCAATGTTTAAACATCCGACGGCAGAGATGCCTTCTTAAACAATAAAATGTCCTTTGACTGACACAATAAATCATCGAGGGGGATGGGTTATTTGTCAATTTTCTTATTATTTAAATATTTTAAAATTACATCACAAAGTTGTACAGTGAACTGAAGGAAGTCAGCTCTGTGGTACATTTTTTAAAAAAGAAGAATACTGCAGTACTTTTTAGATTTTACAATATTTATTACTGGTCAGAAATAGTGGTGTGTAAATTCGGGTATCCGTAATATTCGGATAAGTGATTTTTCGGTCCGTGTCTCAACTTAGATGTTACAGGTATCTGATACCAGTTTTTTTATTTTTAAATTATTAATTTAAAAAAATATACATAAATTTAAATGTATGAAATTTCGAATTACATACTCTAACATCCGAACATAAAATTTAAAAGTTTGAAATACAAAATCTAATAATCCATTATATATATATATATATATATAAACTAACCGGGTATTTGAGTAACGGGTACCCGCAAAACTCAATTTTGATACCCGGGCCCGACCCGGTAGGATAATTTTTTTTAAAAAATTACCCATTTTTTTAAGTTCGAGTCGGTGGATCAGATTAAACGAGTCGGATATTTTTACACACTCCTAATCATAAATTTGGTTATTTACCCTTTCAATTGGGTGAACCGATATATATTTTTTATAATAGCTTAATGTTATTTGATATTATTGAATATCAGTTTTTTAACGCATTCGACTGAAATTTATCCTTATTGCATTTAGATTATATTATTTGTAGAATAGCACAAGGTTCTTAATCTTGAGGTCGTGGGATTGAGTCCCACGGAGGGCATTTCATAATTCAAAGGTATCTTACGGAAGCTGTTCTCAACCTAGTGTTGGGGGCAGCCTACTATCTTACTTCTCCCTTACCCCATTGCATATGGGAACAAGTGACAACCAACCATATATGTAGGCAGGTTTGATTTTTTTTTCTTAGTAAATTAAAGCTTTTATTCGTAAAAAAAAAGGAATTTGATTTTATCAATACATTGCATTACTATTCTTGATTAATTTGGCTGAACTATTTTTTTTGACAACTATCACAATTTTTCATTGGTGCATTTTTTTTATTTTTAATTTGTATAACTTTTTGAATAATTATAAAGAGTAATATATACAAAATTTAATTATAATTTAATAATCACTATAAATAAAAGAATGAAAAAACGTTGTACAAACAAAGCTGAGTATTATTATACAAATCAATACAATGATATGAAATCATGATTATATATAAGTCGTACCAAAATGTATATAATCCTAGATTTTAGCGTTGAAACATATGTGAACACCGCAAAAATTAGCTCGCAGACTCCAATCATTATATGGCAGAACCCTATAGATTGAAAATAGGATATGATGCATAGATTTCACTTTCAACGAATTAATATGTCTCCAAAATCTGTTAATATCATGTAGTCTTTAAAGCTATTACACCAATCGTATAGGTGATAACATTATCTAGAGTACACGAATTTTAATTTGATCTAATTTTTTTTTTAAAAATAAATACCTAAAATTAATATGAAAAACAGAGAATCATATGTATGATCATAAACTATTCAAAAAATAAAAAATATCGATTAAACTAACTTTATACCTACTTATAATGAACCTAATTTTTTAATTATATAGAGTAATTATAATGTCATATTTATTTGGAAGACTTCCAATTATTTGACAATAAACGCTCATATAATTTTACAAAAATCATGTTCGAACCTAAGATCTAAAAGAATAACAATTGTTTTAATTACTAATATTATCCTTAACCTTAGACCTTAGAAATATAAATTTAACCGTTAGACAAAAAGGGCTTCATAAAATTCTAAGATAAATCTTAAAATTATACGTAGTTTTTGATGAAATGTATAACATAATGCATGAAATATGTTTTCTTTTTGAATTTTTTATATACGTAAATTTAATTTGAATTAATTTTCATAAATCACAAATATCACCATTTAAGGTTTACATATTATATTTTATTATATCAAATTGTAAAAAAAAATTAAAGTGGAGAACTAAAACACTTTTTTTATAAAACAATCTTAAGTAAATTATGGGCACCTTATTTAAATTTATTATTCCATTTTTATTGCAATAATTTTTTATTTTAGTATTTTACTTTAATGTTTCTTTAACTTGATCTAAAAATACAAAAAAAATTGACACGAAGTTATTGATTATTGGTAACAAATTTACCAAAATTGATTTTGACTGCCAATAATATCGTCTATACCGTAAAATATTTATATCTATATAATTAATTAGATATTATTTTTAAATTCTTAAATTTTCCAACATTCACTGTAGTATTTAGGGAGGGAAAATTGTAATAATGAAATGGGAAAAAAGAGAGAGGGAGAAATTGGAGCGAGTAGAGATGAAGCCCGCTCTCGTTTCACTTGAAAACACTAAACATCCATTTCCAGCACCCCACTCCCAACCCATTTCTTTCTTTATCTGTTAATTTTCCCCATTTTTTATTAATCTTTTCGGGAAAAAAGAAGAGAAAAAAACTTCGAAAAGCCAACCCTCTCTCTCCTCCCCCACCTCTAAACGCCACTTCCTTTCACTCTCCTTCTCTTTCTTCCTGCCGTCGCTGTCTCCTCTTCAACTGAACCCAAAAAACCAAACTCCACAGTGTCTCTCAAACACTAAACAAAACAAACTGAAAAAAATATCCCCATGGATCTTCACGATACGACCAACGTGTTGTTCAGCAAAATCAAGAGTTTAGACCCAGAAAATGCTTCGAAAATCATGGGTTACATCCTTATTCAGGACTTGGCTGACAGGGATTTGTTGCGTTTGGCCTTTGGTCCTGAAACCCTTTTGCAGTTCCTTGTGTTCAAGGCTAAAGCTTACTTGGGACTTTCTTCAAGCACTTTCTCTACTCCTCTGAACCCGATCTCAAGACCCAACAGCTCCAACTCCAACAATTCACAAAACCCATTCCCTCCATCGTCTCCTGGTTTCATTCCACGAAATGGGTTCTTAGAGTTTTCGAAAAAGGCGCCTTCTTGGTCTCCTGCTAGTAGCCCAAAGTCGAGTCCTTTTCTCTCTTATGAAAATATCCGCTCTGGGTCTCTCTTAGTTCCTTCAAGGACTGGGGATAGCAACACTGATTTCATCGATGAGAACCAAATGAGTGATTATTTTTCTTTCTTGAACGATTCTTCATCTTCTAAGAACGAGGACTTTGTTGGTCATAGGAGGAGTTTTTCTGCAAGTGATGCGTGTTTCGGAGCAACCGAAGAAGCCGGTGGTCTCTTGGGTGGTTACAAGCCTTGTCTTTATTTTGCTAGAGGGTTTTGTAAGAACGGTGATAACTGTAAGTTTTCACATGAGCTTGGTGGTTTAACTGATAATGTTGACGTCACTGGTGCCATTGTTGGTTCACCTAGTAAAATGGACCTTCTTTATCGTCAACATGAGGAAGTGATGAGAGTGAGAGCTGCTGCTCATCAACATCAGCAAAGGCTGGCTGCTGCTCAGTTGATGGCTGGTGCTTCTTCTCTCTTGCGTTGCGAAAAAAACACGAATTTTCTTTTGCAACAGCAAACTGATGCCCAGAGGTATGTTAAATAGTTCCCATTTTTGTTTCCTGCTGTCAAAGTGTTTTGTCTATTTTATGTATAAGACTCGTCAGTTTTTTTATGGTGGTTATGCAACCCATATTATGATTTGTTTTGATTTACTTTAATTTACCCATAAATAAATTATATATCATCTATTTGGCGTTTCTTTCGTAGTCTTGATGCTATGGATTGGTTTCTTCTAGTCCCTTTTTATTTATATGTTTGTTCTTTGTGATTTGCACACTTATTGGTTGAATAACAGAAACATCTATTTGGCTTGTGTTTATATTTTTGACGCTGAGATTCTTAAAGTTCATTAAACTTGAGTTTAGCTCAGCAGTGGGGTTTAATTTATAAGATAATTGGTCTTCTTTTGGTGGTGGAGTAGTTAGTTACAAGAACCATGGCATCGCATTGGAGTATGGCCTATTATGCTGAATTTAAGTTCTTTTCCATTTGGCACACTGTTATGTTGCAGAGCTGCTGCATTGATGGTTGGTGAGGAAATTTGCAAGTTTGCCCAAGGCCGAGCTGAGAGGAATAGTTTTTTCGCAATGGGATTGGCAGAGAAGGCTAATTCAGCTTCAAAACAGATTTACCTGACTTTTCCAGCTGATAGTAGTTTTAAAGATGAAGATGTTTCAAACTACTTCAGGTATATTCTTTACTTCTAAATGGTCTGGCATTTCCCCCTCTGATTATACATGCAGTTTTGTGGTTTATAACAAGTTTCTATGCACATTGTTGAGTGAGGACTACATTTTGAATTATTTGCTTACCCACCATATATTTTGTTTTGATGTTGCAGTTTAGGTTATAACCACTCTTCATCTTTGGTTAGATATTTATCCCATTAATTGAAATATGTTAGGATAACTATCCTAAATGCTGTTCGATTGCTGTCAACTCTTCAGGTGAGGAGAGGATAATCAAGTAAATATGATTTATCTAGAAGCAAATGATCATATAAAGGGAATTTCAAATTGTCGATAGCGCTTGTAATGATAAAAGGACTTTACAAATGATCGGAGGCATATTTCAATGGGATTCATATTTTTATTCTATTTGTTCTTATTTAATATATTTACTGGTGGCTAAAAAGTCTTCAACAGCAGGCCACTTAAAACTACTCATGTTAATTTAGGTAATACCTAATTGTTTTTGTTTCTACATTAGTGCTCAAGAATGTATGGGAAATTAAAGGATTGAGTATTTTCTTCATTAGTTGAAAGAGGAAATATGGGTTATGATATTTAGACTTATGGACAATTTGCCCTCTTACTCCCATGACTCATCAAGTGTTCAGCAAAATTGATTTTAAATAATGTATAAAGGAGATACATGCATATTTTACCTGTGTAAATATCCCAGGAAAACATTTCATTAGAAATTTGTTTGTTATAAAAAAGAAAAGGTGTGTGCTTCTGGTGTTGTTTGTGGACTTGGTCAAACCAGCAAGTATGCTGTATGATAAGACTGGTGACGGTGAATGGGAAAAATTGATGTTTTGTGGATTGAAAATGGATTATTACTGTATATGTATGTTTACAGAAGAAGGTGATGTGACAATTTATATGGGAGTCTGAATTCTGTAATTTGAATACATAGGCTTTATTGATATACCGTAGATATATGATTTTGACTTTCCTAAGGGATGTAGAATATTGTGTTTATTACAAGAGAGTACAATTTTGAGCAAAATGGGTGTTTCTTATGTATCCAGCGTTGTTTAGCCGAGGCTTCCACGAAATGTATGTTGCCATTATTTGCTTGATTTGTTTTTATGCAAAATTCTAGAAAGGAGCAACCAAAGGGTGGTTTATGTTAAGAACTAAGGTTTATGAATTTCTTAAATTTCAAGTTTGGGAATTCACTTTAGCGTTCCTGTATCTTTAAGCATGTTTGGACCAGTGCAAGATGTGAGGATCCCGTACCAGCAAAAGCGAATGTTTGGTTTTGTTACTTTTGTCCATCCGGAGACTGTGAAACTCATTTTGTCCAGAGGAAATCCCCATTTCATTTGTGATTCACGTGTGCTTGTTAAGCCCTACAAGGAAAAAGGAAAAGTTCCTGAGAAGTATGACATCTTCTCTTGTTTGTTTCTTTATCTTACAATTTGTCCTTACTGTGCGTTGATTTTGTAACTGTTAATGGAACAATTGCAGGAGGCAACACCTGCAACAACAATTTGAGAGGGGGAACTTATCTCCTTGTTCAAGCCCTTTGGGGCTTGATTCTAGAGAGCCATATGACCTTCATGCTGGTAAGAAAACAAACAATCATGGCTCTTTATGGGGTCTTTTGCATTAAATGATACATGCAGAAACAAAATGCTTAAAATGCCTTTTTCTCTTGTTTTATTTTGTTTTTTAGATTTTGGGATTCTCAATTTCTGTTTATTTACAGGGGCAAAGATTCCGTACGATGCACAAGAGATGATGTTTAGAAGAGAACTGGAAGAGCAAGTTGATATCCGGCAAGCTATTGAACTGCAAAGGAGAAGGTTCATGAACTTGCAACTTCCAGACTTCAAGAATGACGGTATTCATCATCACCAACGCAGCCTATCCGTTGGTGCTTCTATTTCCTTGCCTGCATATTCTCATGCAGGTCAAAATGTTGATCCATCTGACAACATTAAACAAGAAGTCTCAGAAGGTTTGCTAAACAGCCTCAATTTTAATATAGTTATATTTTTGTTGGATTTGTGAATACTGCGCGGATATGTTTCCATCTCTCGTGTTAAAAATAGAAAATAAAATCAAAACCGGTAGTGCAATATGTTTAGATTTCTTAATTCAAGGAATGGAAGATAAAATAAATGCTGTAGTGAAATTTATATTATTTCTTGTAGCAGTCAATGGTGATAATACAGCTACTGTTCCCTCCATCATTAATGCTGCTGAGGTGGAAGAAGTGAAAACAGCTTGTGTTCAAGAAGCCGGTGTTGGAAATAGCCAAGGGTATCCCAGCCCCAAAGGGTATGGTGTTGGAGTTTAATTCTGACATTTAGATAAATTTCGCACAAGTACAGATGCCATATTCTGTATTTTTTGTTGGAGTCTTACGGGGTGTTTAGCATTGCTCTTGGCTGTTCAAAAGAACTTTTGATGGCAAAAGCAATGCGAAGCAAAGGGATTTTGCCATCAAAAGTGAGGTTGAAAAGTTCTTTTGGAGCCAAACCAAGATTCTGACTGCCAGATGCTTTTCAAGAGCACTTTTCAACCGCAAGAGCTATGCTAAACTAGCTCTTATTGTATACTGCTGTCTTTTAGGCTCTTCTAAAGTTGATTGTCATCTAGTTGTTTTTCTCATTTATTTAATCGACATTTCTTGTATATGCCATGAGAGCAGTGTTGAGCATGCACTTCCCGATAGCCCTTTTGCTTCCCCTAAGAAATCTACTGAAAATCACCTCTCTGAGCATCCGGCTTTGATGGGACCAAAGGAAAGTTCTGCTTCATGTGCCGCTTCATCTTCTGATGATCCATTACGGCCCATCGCTTCCACCAGCGGCACAACCTCTGTTTAAGTTATCTTCTACGTGATGCCAAGGTATTATCATTGTCGTAGCTTGAAGTCTTCTGTTACAACTACCAGATTAAAAGGTATTTGGTTTGTATTTGTTCTCAGGTTTAATGATGGGCATGAAAAGCTAATGAACCGTAGGAAATAAAGGTAAGCATGTTTGAAACTCGGAAACGAGTTATCAATAATTTATGAACTCATATAATTTTTTTGAATTCGAATCAAATGACATCCTTCTAATGCTTTGATATGACAATCTACAGGTGCAGAAAAGTAGAGAAGCATATACTAGAAGAAATCCCCTAGACGTGTATAGTCAGATTCATATACTGAAGAGTAGATCCTAGAGAATATCTCAACAATATCATCATCGTCATCTTCTTCTTCAATACAATACCCACTAACAGCAAGTGCATATCGGAACCGAGTCTCGAACGAGCTTAGGGCTTTTCTCTTTTCTCCTTTCTCCTTTCTTTTGTAGGTATATGTATTCCAACAGACAAAATCAGAAAACCAAAGATAGTGAACTCACTGTGTCATCAAATCTATGCGTCTTCTTTCACCTATGTATTCCAACAGACATTGATGCCTGAAATGTGTAAACATTTAATTTGGAAACAGCAGTTGCTTGGAAGTTAGTGAAATTTTCTTCACATTAGTTTTGGAACCTAGGAAGATGATGGAGTTTGGTGATTTGGTATAGTTATATTTAATATGTTAAACTTTTATTAGTAGTAGTTATAAATAAAATATTTTGTTTTCGGGTTTCTTGCTGCCATAAAGTGAAGAATGTTGGGTATATCCATGGGAAAGCTGGTCAAAAAGCTTCTCTTTTTACTATAATACACATACATACATACATACTAGGTCCGCATGAAATTGCTGGGTTACGGCTTTTCCTTGCTCTCATCATATTGGGGGACTGACATTACTACAAAATGAAGTCAGGGTGTCAGACAAACATTTCTCTCGTCTTGTATATGTACATGTACATGTACATGTATATGTATATGTATATGTATATGTATATGTACATGTACATGTACATGTATATGTACATGTACATGTATATGTACATGTACATGTATATGTACATGTACATGTATATGTACATGTATATGTATATGTACATGTACATGTACATGTATATGTACATGTACATGTATATGTACATGTATATGTATATGTTTTATTTAGGATGCAAATATGGATATATATTATACTGATGCTAATATTACATAAAATAAACTTTCAGATTCAGTTAGCATGTTCTATGAACCTCTTTTTATAGAAAAAAAATCCCATCTTGTTTTCTCTCATTTTAGATAAATTATAAAAAATATGTATTTAGGTTTTTGTTAATTTCAGCATAAATTAATGTCATGTCGACTTTAGTTTAAGAATTATTAATTTAAATTTAAATAAAAAATATATTTAAATAAAAAATTATTGATTTTAATGTTTAAAAAACAAAATCATTTTACTTAAATTATGAAATAGATGATTCAGTGTCCACATTTAACATATTCAAAGATGTTGCTTTCCAATAACTAGTCATTTTCCACTTAGTGCAATCATTCTCAATGATTAAACCCTCACCTCAGATTATTCAAACTTACTAAATTTAGAAAACTATCTTGTGTTGGATTACTCGTTAGACACGAAAATGAGTTGGGTTTGTATATTTTTTGAATTATTATTTATAGAAACCAGCTCATAAGATATTTAACGATTTAATTAATTATAAATTCTATTATATGATTAAAAAGTTAAAATTTAGTTCCATATTATTTTATTTCACATCATATAAATCCAAATTGTTCTTTTACTAACTCATTGTATGCATATTAAAATTACGGACGATTGAATAAATTATGAATGAGAAGTAGATGGTGATAAATTACTTATTTAAATAATAATATTTTCTCAATAATGAAAGAAATGGTTTGAAAATTAGTTTAATGACATTGGATTATTAGTTAATTGGACCTAAAGTTGGATATTAAACTAATAAATAATTACATATTATTTCAGCTCATGTCATACAAGTTCAGATGATTCCTTTGTTAACTTATTGCATGCATGTTAAAAACATGGATGATTAGATAAATTATACATGAGAAATAGATTATAGAAGACTATTTATTTAAGAAATAGCATTTTCAAGTAGTGGAAGAAATGACTTGAGAATTAGTTTGACGACTTTTAAATATTTTCTTTATATTCCTTATTGATAATATACTTTCATTCTTTCGTCTCTTAACATATAATCGTACATTTGTCCCTCGATATTGTAATATAGAGGAGCATATGCAGAAACATAATGTTGGGATGAGTACAAGGTTTGTGGCTGCTTAGTTGCGATATAGGAACTTCATTCGACAACTGGCTGGAGGTAAGACCAACTAATGAGTAGACATGTATGATGAGGCTGAATAAATTGTAATTTATTGCATTAGGCGAAAAACTGCAGTTAAGTATTTTGGATGATGGAAATTTCAGAGGGCGGGGCAGGTAAATTGAAATGAATGAGGTCCGTGACTGTCCTTGATTTTTCAGTTCACGGGCTGTTGACAAACGTTTTTCACCTTTCCCTGTGTTCAAACATAATTTCATTTAGGTTCAAATAACTTCCAAAAAAGGGTATACCATATACAAGAAAGAGCCAAAACAGAAACAGAAAAAGCAAAAGGCCAATTGTCATACACTGCCATGATGGATTCCTCTTTTTTCCATGATATCATCAGCATCAGAATGGTTTGGAACACATGAAACCAAATATTCCGATTCTTTCTGTAATGTAGTACTAGAGAAAAGTGCATGTGAAAGACAAGAGACTTCCACTACCAGGGGCTCAGCAAATCTCTGTCCCAAGAGATTCTTACGGCCTTTGATTTTGTTTCCATCAATGGAAATATGCCCTTTTTTCTTATTTTCCATATTAACTCTCCTTTATCACAATCTCAGCTTTACATATATCTTCATCCATTGTTACATCAACTGCATTTCACTCTTAAGCGTGGCCACCAACAAGGGAAAAGGTTAGCATTTTCTAGCATGGCAGAGGAGTTTTATTTGTCTTTTTGTTTCATTCATCAAGCTTAAAACAAGATGTCCAATGGTGGGCATGAAGTAGTTTATAACCTGTTTGAGTTTTAACCTTCCCCAACAGGTTCAAGTTAATAAGATTCACTGTGCCTAGCAATAACAGTGAAATGAATTTATTGTCATGGACTGCATTGGTAGAAACTCAAAACTGTAGTTGTTCATGCTGGTTTGCCTTGTTTTGATCATATATATACCTTTTTTTTATTTCAGGCTGAAAAAAAAACTCATGGAAGGCAGCAGTGGCAGCTCTTGTAATCCTCCAGCAGGTACCAAATTCAGAGTTTTTGTTAATTAAACTATATTAAAGCTGTTTATACATTTAATTCATATAACTGTTAAAAGCTTTAGGCAAAGCAGCAATATCAGAGTTAGAAACACTGCAGAAACAGTACGAGGAGAAAAGAGTGAAGATCCAAGAGCTCCATAAAGAAATCGAAATCGCAAAGATTCGATTGGATGAGCAGAAGAAGAAGAAGAAGAAGGAAATCCCAGATGAGAAAAAAGAAGCTTTGAATGAACTAAGCCAGAAATACAACAGCCTGATAGAGGAATATATTGCACTGTCAAGGGGGCTGAATTAAGGCCATAAACATTTCTTCTCTGTTTAAGTACTTTTATTGGCAAAGATTTTGCTACATCTATATGATATTATTTCAAGCTTTCAACAATCTTTAATTATTAACACGATCCATTTACTCTATGGAAATTCGGAGGGTTTATATATTGTGCCAAAAGAAGATTAAAACCTTAGTCTACAAAAGGAAGATTACGTGCCTGTGACTAATTAGTTTTAATTAATTAAATATTTCCTAAGCAAATTACAAAACAAAAGTTGATCCACCATCTCAAATAAGCTTATAATGCATTAAAATGCATCCGTGAATGCGTTTTTTTTTTGTCATACATTATATTACAAAGTATCAGTTCGATAATTAACGAAGAATAAATATTATTTTAGTATCAATGGATCTTATTACATAATGTAATATTCTTTTAATTTATATAAATTTAAGATTATTGGATGAATGAAAATAGATAAATAAAATTAACAATTGAAAATGTGAAGATATTGACAAGAAAAAAATAAAATATGAACGATATTTAATCTAAGTAAAACTAACAAAAAATTCTCTCTATATATTGTGTAAATATGTCGTAATTCTCTCTCTATATATTTTGAAGACTTAATTTTATTTAAATATTTTTGTAAACATTCTTTTATATAAACCGGGCTTTCGAACTCGTTTCGAACCGGTCTTTTAAAAGTAGAAATCTTATTCGAACAAAACTGAGAACTACAATCAAACCCTCGAGTCGGAAGTACGAAAACACTTGAAAGCTTCAATGGCTACCGAAAACAAAGCAAAAGGCAACACTGTGACAGCCAAAGGCAAGAAGAGGAAGCAGTATCTTCCCTACAATGTTAGCCCAAGCTCTCTCTTTTAGTTTTTCACCCTATATTTTCATATATATATTTTTTTGTGTTTCTTCATTTCTTTTTCATTTTCGGAAAATAGAAAGCAGTTAAAAAGAAAGGGGCATACCCATTAAGGCCTGGCATTCAAGGTTTCTTTATCACTTGTGACGGTGGCAGAGAACGACAAGCTGCTCATGAAGCTATCAATGTTATTGATTCTGTATGTTTTTTTCTTTTCTTTCTATATTCTTATTTTGAAGTTTATTGTGGAACCCTTTTGTGTTTTTTCATTACACTTCATTTCCGATCATTAATTGATGATTTTCCATTTGGTATTCGTTTGTGATTCAATTCTTTACTTTTTTATATATACAAAATGGTTACTGAGTTTATTTTATGTTTTTTATTATTATTAATGTCCAAAGTTGTTTTCTGCTTTTTTTTCCCCTTACTTTCAAACTGTGTATTGTTTAGTGTTTTAATTACTCTGTTGGAGAGGCATGGCTTTTAGAAAGGGGTTTTATGCCAGATTAAAATCAGCTATAACCTTGAATTTGCTCAAATAATGTGAAGCTGAATCGTAGAATCACATTGATATGTGATAACAGTTGTGACATTGCTCTTTAAGCCTTCATCTTTTCCTTAACTTTACCGTGTTCATGATTCATTTCCTTTTCAAGTTCATTTTTTTCTGTTCATGAAGACTATGGACCAAAGCTGATGACTTCTGGTCTGCAAATTATTATTACTATTGATAATGTTAGGCATATGCTACTGTAACTATTATAGATAAAGACTGCTTCTTTATACCTGAAATATTGCATTGGGAGTTTTGTTCTATCAAAATATACACACTAGCAGGATATAGAATTTGCACACAGCAGTGGATACAAAAATCCATTTATAGTATGCTTTGGAATGTCCATAGTTCTATAATTGGTTTGGCCCCTTGCTGCGCTAAGACCCTGATATTTTCTCCACCTATTGTTACATATGAAATTATGAATTGAAGTATTTGCACATCAAGAAACTTTGGCTTAATCATTAATCTTTGGTAGAAACTTACCTTTATAGAAAAAAAATGCTGTTTCTGGGTTTTATGTAACAACTGATACAACAAACCTCTTCCTCCAATGAAAAAGAATTTCCTTTTCATTTATGGCAGCTAAGAGGAAGTTTTGAAGTATAGATTGTTTATCCCTGTGTTACATGGACACGTGCACAAACATTTTGTACGGATAGGTTTGACTCTCATAAAAAGAAAAAAAAAATTGGACTATGTAGACACATCTTTGAAGTTAAGCTCTCATATAAAGGCAATAAAAAATGAAGAATCACATCCAGAATCAACTTCTCTTATTTAGCCCATTACCTTTTCCTTTCTTCTTTGGACTCTAAAACATTTAACCTCATACAATCATTTTCTCATCTTTTCTTTATCCTCTTTTATCACACTGTCTCTCAACTTCATCCTATGCTCGTATTCTTCCTCATGCCTTCTCTTTATTCATTATATTGACTGAAAGTTTATGCTTAATGCATAGATAGCATGGTTTGGACCCAAAGGTTCTTGGTTTTATAACATTATCCCTTTGGCCAGCAATACCCTGGCATCATCTCTGATCTTTACCCTTTTTTCATATCTGAATTGGCTCATGTGAAGTAGCCATGTTCTTATTCTAAATATTGAATTGGACTCGTATTTTAACCAGTATCTCTGCAATTCCGTGTCAACATGAGTAGAGTGCCTTAAAATGTTGTGTCCTCGTATACAGTGTTTATTCCTATTTTTAAGAGGCAGTTGCTAATGCTCCCCTACCCCTACTATTCTTTTGTGAATTTTTATTAAACTTATGCTTATTTTACTTCCCTGCAGTTTTTTGAAGAGCTAGTCAATGGAAAGGATTTTGGAGAGGAACCTGCATTGTTACCGAATAAGCCTCTAAATAAAAAGATTACATTCTCATATAGTGATGATGAAGGCGATGATGAAGAGGAGGGTGACGGTGATGAAGGAGAGGAGGAAGGGCAAGAGGAAGTTATTAAATTAGATGCTAGTAGAGAAAATGATGCTAGTGAAGATTGTTTAACCAATAAGGATTTGGATCATCCAAATTCAGATGATGTGTGCCATGGAAAGATAGCAGAAGAGACTAGTGATGCACAGAAGGAGGGGGCAAATATTGAAAATCAAGTAGAGAAGTTGGAGGAGCCACCAGAAAAGAAACAATGCCATGAAACAGATACATCAAATCAAGTAGATAAGTCGGAGGAGCTTCCAGCAAAGAAACAATGCCTTGAAACTGATAAATCAAAGAGTGCAACCAGTGAGAAAGATAAATCTATTGATAAGCTTATTGAAGCTGAACTCAACGAGCTTGGAGATAAGAGTAAGGTTAGTACGCTGCGACTGCTAAAGTTTGTAATTGATTTTGCAGATTAATGGATGCCAGAAAGAGGAGAAATACATTTAATTGAAAAAAAAAACATTTTATCTGGACGGTGACATACCTTTTTGACCACAAGTTATGTTTTTGGCATATTGCTCGAAATTGAAAGAACTAAGGCAATTATATGCTTATTGAAAAAGAAAATTAAATAAATTTAAAAGTGCTTATACCATATTTTTCTTGTAATTTTATTTTAATTTAACACAAAATTCTTAATTGAAACATTCACGTATTTTCTTTATGCAAGATGGAAGTAGCCCAAATGGGTTTTTTTCCTTCTGTGTTACGTTGAGCTTTGCCTATAAAAATTAAGACCCACTAGCTTGTTGTATTTAAGCTATCAACCTTGTACATTGTTCATCTGATTCTTTTATTTGTTTAGAAATGAATTATTCGTAATTTTTTGTTTATTACTTACTTTCTCCTTCCGTGTTTCCGTTTTTTGTGCTGAATTTGTCTAGCTTTTCTTATGCAATTACTTCCTGTCATCTCTTGTAAACAAATGGGTGATGCTGACCATTATTGCATTTTCATTTTTCTTTCCAATTGTTTGTTACTTGAACCTTTTTTCCCCTTTGCGCCATGTTCGAAGAGGCTGTTCTTCAACCTTGATTCAGGCTGTAATGGTGTTATCTTTGTTCAAATGCGGAAGAGAGATGGAATTCCTGGCCCCAAAGATATCGCTCAGTATATGATGACGTCTGCTGCATCAACAAGGAAGCACATGTCGAGGTTCATTATACACTTACATTTTATGTTACATATACAAAGTACATGCACATAGGAAATGTTATCTTGGTAATAGGAAGCTAAAATTTACTATTTCTTTGGTTTAGGTTCATTTTAAGAGTCTTACCTATTGAAGTAGCATGCTATTCTTCAGAAGAGGAAATTACAAGAGCAATGAAACCTCTCATTGAGCAGTATTTTCCAGTGGAGACACAGAATCCTAGGAAGGTACGAAATAGATGAATCCCATTCTTTTGGTTTTGGTTTTCAAGTGATGAAATATTTTATAGTGCTTGTAAGAGCTAGTTTTCCATAAAATACAAGGACGCATATTCAAATCAAGTTGATAGAATCAATAGAATGGACAAGGTGCATCAATTTTAACTTGCTTTCTATAAATATTGTTGTATTTGTACAAAAAAAATAAATGTGTTTTAAATGTTCTTTAAGCATCTCTGTTGTTTGTCTTCGGTTGATACCATTCAGACATGAATCAAACCCAGATTTGACAGAATCCGAATGTATGACTTGTATGCAAGCTACACGATTTAAAGCCAAAACTTCTAGTTTTAGCTCAAGGTAGTTGTTCACTGAAATGAGAGATGGGACTTCCTTTTTTTCTTTAGGGAAATAACAATTTGGACCGATCAAACCTTTTACATACATGTAGTAGCCTGCCTGGTGAGTTTTCACTAGTGTGGATTAGCCAGGAAATTAAAATGTTCTTAGAAATTGTAAGATTGACAAACATGACTTTAAATCAATGTTTGATCCCTTACAATGTTCTTGGCCCATTTGCTTGTTGCAAGATCCATCTAAGATAGTCCTAAAGTTATCCATAAAGGAAGCAGTCAATTCATGAGAGCCATTCAATTCATGATTCACTTTGATATATAAAAGAATAAACTTTCTGCATATTTGAATGCCTTCGTTTAGTTTGCAAGATAGCTAATTCGAACCTATATTTAGATGATTAACATACTGTGGATGTTAATGTTTGTGTGGGCAAATATTGTTCATGTTAGATTTGGACCTGCCTCCTCAAAGGAGGGTTGGGTTTGGGGCACTTTAACATCTTTTTCCCTCTTATCATGAAAATGCATTTATAGCATGGAAGAAGGATAAATACCTTATCAGTATTATGGTCTGTTTTGTTTTGTCAAGGACCCTACATGACAATTACATTTACAGCATCCTTTTGGTTTCATCAAATTGAAGTGTATTGTATGTGATGGAATTGTAACTTTTGTTCACTGCAGTTCGCTGTACTATACGAGGCGCGTGCAAACTCTGGTGTTGACAGAATGAAAATCATAAATTCGGTTGCAAAGTCTGTACCTGCGCCGCACAAAGTTGATCTTAGCAATCCTGACACCACTATTATAGTTGAAATTGTGAAGGTGAGTACATTATTTCTTGACTAGAATGTGAACTCATTTTTGGCAACCTTTACAAGATCACATAATCCAGCCTTCCATTTCACTATATAATTTTTCTTTCCGGTTTCAGACAATCTGCTTGATTGGGGTTGTTGAGAAGTACAAGGAGTTGGCAAAATATAACCTGAGGCAACTTACATCACCAAAGCAATAGAGAATAGAGATGCTGGTTCCGTTGATGGAGCTTCAAGCAGCACTTTAGAAAACACCTGTTAGCTAGCTTTTCTGGCTTTTGTCAAATTTTTGAAGGAAAATTCATACAAGTAATGTAGGTGTCTTTTATTAAAAATAAGTGGGTTTTGAATAATCTTCTATTTCAATTCCCCGGTGTTAGAGAGTCTATATCTATTTAAATCCTTTACATTATTAAAATATTTTACTGAAACATGTAAGCCTGTTATTTATCCGTGATGATGCTCATCTTTCATTTCAGTGGTGCTTAATAATCTGAGATTATGCATGCGTTATAAAGAGAAACAGTACATGAATGAAACAAATGAAATTACACTTTCTACCATCTTCTCCATCTAGTACACAATTCAGAATATGGGGATCAAATGGTGTTTTTTTTAAAGGAAAAGGAAAATGGGGTATGGTACACAGTTACAGTGGAATCAAAGGTGGTAAACTCTGGTTTATAAAAAAGTTTAAAAGTACAACTAAACAACAACAACAATGACAACCAAGAGGATCAGAATGATGAATACAAGAAAATCCATTGTGATTGATTGCATTAGTCATCTTTACTCGAGTATTTTTTGTGCTTTCCTTTCATTTCCTGCACTATCTCAATCTTTCCCCTTCCATTCTTCTGTTTGCTTATAGAATCCTCCTGTGCACTGCACATTTGAGACTTCAACTTAAATCCGAATTTTTTCGACACAGTACCCCAAGTGCTTGAGGAGCCCTTTTCCCGGCCTAGCTTCTCTATTTCTTGCCTCATGTTTGAGCATTCTTTCTCAAGCTCAGAAACCCGCATTCTCATATTATCCATGCCTACCTTCAAAACCTGGTTTTCTCTCACAGTTGAGGTCCACCCTACATCAGTTGACCCTGCAAACCCGCTTCTTAACTGTCGCGATCCATCAAGATTATCTGAAACCAAAAAGCAACCGGCGATTGAAGTCCTAAGCTGAAGCTGCTCAAAGAACAAGACTTGGACAACTATTCGCAGTGGCAGTCTCTCGTTTTGTGCAGCATGGGTACAGGCTTCCAAGGAGAGCTTCTGGCAGTCCATCAGCCGGCATAGCTGTTCTCTGTCTGATTCCGACAACCATGGGTGTGACTGCAAGTTCGATAAGCATAGGAGAAAGTTAAACAAGTTCGAAAAATAATTGTAGCAATCAAGCGTTTCAAGCCTTCTTTCTTGTACCCTTCTTTAAGATGCAGCGATTGATCTTAAGAAAATGATAATTTTAAGCCCCCTAATAATCAACGCATATAAGATTTGGCTTCCTGGTGCGGCTAACTTTGTTTCGAGCAGATGAGAGAAGCAACTTACTTTAAAATGCCAAATAAAATTACCCAGTCAAAGAACCAACGACAGAAACAACTTAAAAGGGACTCAAAGAACCAAACATATGACTTGCGTTTGGGCACAACTGCTGCAGAGTTCTTGGATCAGTAAACTAGTTCTGGTAATATTGCATCATAAAAAACCGAAGAAAACAACGTAATTAACATCAAGTGCAGTAACCAGTAAGGATAGTACCTTGAGATAAATGTCTATGGCACGATAAAGACCATCATCCAATGGCCGGGCATAGTCAGGAACTGATGCAGCAAGAGCCTGGAACTTGGGGAGCTTCAAATTAACATCAGGGGCAACTTCCGCAAGGTACCCATCGATTAGCTTGGCTACCATCGTAATTGGTGTTAATGACGGAGAGCCAATAATCTGACCATCATCAGCCGAACATGGAGAGGCTCCACCAGTAATTTGATCCATGGCAAGAAAATGCTCAAGAATTCGCTGCACGCAGTCTACGTTGTAAAGTGTTTCCATGGAATAAGAGAAATTAGGCATCAGTAGATCTTCCAGAGTTGCTTTATCAAGCTGCAACCCGATCCTTTTCTCAAAGTTAGATATAAAAGAGGGGCTTGCTCGAAGAATCATGGCTGTCCGAAGCAGTCCAAACAAAAACTTGGTTGAGACAAGGCCTTTCTGAATAGGAAGCAACCTATCAATCTCCTCCAGCAAATTCTTCTGATCTTCTTCCGATAGAGAAGCCCCCAAGGCCACAGGTGCAAGAGAGGCACTCGTGTTAGAATCCTTGGCGCCTTGACGCCTGATCAAACCAGGTAGGTACTTTTTTGCATAAAAAGTAAGTGAGCCGGAAATTGTCTCCTCTCTGATACCACGAGACTCCATGGCTGAAATCAATCTCCGATAGAGAGGTAAACTTAAATTTGATGCATCCTCATACCACCAATCCAAACTTGTATTTTTTGGTTTGGCCCCTGTACTTATCCCATTCCACAACACACTTCCACCAGGGCTCTGCATTGGACCACCATATTCCATTATGGGCCACCCAAATAGGTTGGGGTCAGTAGATGCCTTTGTGGCTAACGATTCGATGCACCTTTTTGTAACATTCAGCTTGTCCGCATAAGAAATAATAGCATCACATGTCTGAAGTGCTCTTAGAGAATCTTTCCAATTCCGGAGGACTACTTGATTAAGAAAGGTTTCAGTCTGCACAATAAGATTGCCTTCCCCATATTCCTCAGTCATTTCTAGATGATCAGCAGCACATCGAATGTACACAACATTTGAGGCAGTGAGTTCATGTTTCACTCCATAGCAGAACTTCGCAACAAGTTCAAAAGTTTTGGCCCCTCCAGGAATGTTGGAGATGCATATAAAACATTTTTCTTCTTCGTCAGATGCTTCTGCGATTAATCTTTCCATAACACCGCTTCTAGAAAGTAAAGGGAACTGCACCAAATGATAGTTAAGAAGTGTAAGAATCACTAAGAACCTAAAAATGTATAGTTATTTGATTAGACACTTCTTTTTACCATGCATCGCACCAAGTGCAAGTTCATACAAAGATTTTTACCACTCTTTGATGAAAGGAAAAGGCTTGCGAAATTGGAAAAGTGACACATCTCAATTCAAGGAAAATCAATAGATTATGTCTTAGAAAGATGGTGCGGGCCAAGTGAGAGGGTTTTCTATCGTTATTTTGCAGAAACCAGTAAAAACAAGTGGAAAGACTTCATAAACATATATATTCAGAAAAATTTTAAAAAGTAAAAGGGGAAAACCAATCAGAATGATGTATATACATGAAGAAGGGAAAATCACCTTGTGAAGATGGAAGGACATTTCCCCAACTTCAACAACAATGTCACTAGGAAGTCCGGTTGTGCAGAACCTATAATATTGCATGCAAATCAAGCTCAACACAGAGAGAAATATAACAAGATTTTCACACGCTTAGGGATATGCGAGGTGCTTAGAATTGAAACCAAAGAAGCTTGCCCCCATGTTATAATATATTCTTATTATACAAAAAATCAAGAAATAATATGAAATGGTTTCATCTATTATACAGATGAAACATTAATAACCCAATCTTAGTGTGCATACACAACACTTTTCAAGACTCGTCCTTCTCATCCAAATGCTGGGATTCCACATTTGTAATCACTACGATAATAAATAATACCACATTCTCAGTTTGTTTGATTCCGTCAGTGTTAACAAGCTTCCAATATTGATAAAAATTGTCGGATTTGTTACTTCTGAAAAGTAATGTTAACAATGAAAACAGACATGATATTAAACTGGGTAAAAAAGGATTATCTTATCTAACCTAAGTACCATTAAACTAAACACGATGTTAAACAGGCCTAACCTAGAATTAGTCAGAATAAGAAATATAAACAAAAAGGACACGATATAGGTTTAGCACAGGTATAAGGACTCCCAACAGATGGGCATCCCTCCCTTCTGATGAAAGTTTAACCATACACATCCACATGACAACTTCAGTCATACCTGCTGTATGTTAAACTGCTTAAGACACAAACCGTATCATTCTTATATTATCAGTATATCAGTAACACAAGATTGGCAATTCAGATTATATATGTTAAAGAGTCGAAAGAAATTGTTCTCAAGTTTCGAGTTGATTGATGACGGTTAAGCTACTCATCTTCTGTAAATTGAAGCTTTAATAAAGTGCATTACTTCAACCAAAACCAAAGAGCAATGGCATAATGTCTATTTACCAAATACTAACCTCACAGAGTTTAAGAGAACAATTTTTAGCAGTATTTACAGCAACAGAATGAATCACTAAGCAATTAAGTGATTGTAGCATGAAAACTTGAGTTTCAAACATAGGAACATGAAACCCAAAACTAGTTTGGTAGCTCAAATCCACAACCATAGCATGCATGTGTATGTCTCTTGATCAGTACGCACCCAAATTCAAACATTAAAGTGTGTCTAAAAAAATTAACAAAAACTAAAAGTTAAAACGAAAGAGCAAGATCAAAACAAAGTAAAGCAAAACAACATCTCACAATAGTCAATGACAGAACATATGTAGGCAGAAGGAGATGGAGATGTACTGTAATTGCAGAGATCAGGTACATACCAAGCCTGCCCTTGCCTCTGGAAGGCATCAGTTTTGGATCCAAGTTTCATGCAAGCCATATTCTCACAGTGGGAATGGAAACAGCTTCAGCAGCAGAACTCCAAACACGGGTCTCAAAGCAAGGCACTTTCTAAATCTCTGAGGAAAACCCAGTTTTACTTTTAACCCTCGCACTTGTTCTCAAAAGGTCAAACCTTGAAAATCAACCCAAATGTAGCTTCTTCTTCAACATGTAAATCAAAGAAAACCCACTAAATATTTCAGGAAAAAAACTTGCTTTAAATCCATCAAATCCACCACCAGATTCATTCCACAAACCCCATTGAGAAAAACCTCCAAATCGCTGTCTAAAACAAGAGAATCTCCAAATCAGACGCCGAAGTGAAGTTATCCGCTTAGGTCAACCCCTCCAAAAACAAAAACCCCAACAGCCAAAATGAATAATAAAAGCCCCTGAAAACACTCACCAAGAAAATTCCAAGGTTTTGAAAATAACGGACCAAAAACTACTACAATGCCCCTTTAGAATACATTAAAGTGAAAAATAATAGCTCTGTGAGTTAACTGTTTTTTTTATCGGTTATACCCCATGGAAATGATAATAATTCATTGCCTTTGAAGCTTTTCAAAGCCATAATGATGATTGTGTTACTATACACGGGGACGTAACCAGAATCCCACAGCAATTGGCCAATATGGAACTTTTAATTTTTAATTAATTAGAAAAAACAATTATTATATCAGTTTAATTTATCGATTTTAAATAGTGACTGAGTGCATACAAAAACCAAAAAATAATGAAAGCACAGTGACATATGAGGCCGCTCAGAGCCTCATAGTACCAAAACCTCCTTCACGCTCGCATGCTTCCACGTGGGACCTTTGCCTTTGCCTTAAAATTCACTCTTTGTCAGACCCAATGTTCGAGTTAGACCAAGGGCAATGGTCAAATTTTGGTTTTGGTTCTACTACTGTTTTCAAATTTGTGATTTAGTATAGTCCCTACATATTAATTCACTATCTCATTATTTGGTCCAAATAGCTAATACCATCAATGATTTAGTTCAAATATTATTGTTAAATTACCTTAAACAATGGTGTTTTCAATGAAATAATTCCACACCATTATATTAATTATTAATCGAGAAGCAATGGGTGTTTTTTTAAAATGTAATTTATTAATTTAGAAAATGGGTTTATAAAAAAGTTCATAAATTACTTTATAAAAATAGAATACGGATAAATAGCATTGTCGATGATAAAAGACAAATATCATCAACACTAACATAATAATAAAACATGATAATACTTTAATAATTAATTTTATCATAACTAATGACATATTTATAATCTTTTTTAACAATTTTTACATAGAGAAAGGGGAAATGAAAATTTTGCTCCTTATAGACATTGAGCTCATAATCCAGGGGAGAGTGGAGATGTCAGTTGAGAACTTTTAAGCACATATTTTAGAGATTGTTGATCGACATATCTATGATTAGTTTCACTTGTGTCAAGACGAGAGAACTAAGGGGCTGTTTGTTTGCCTCTTAATGGAATCATTCAGCACTGAATGTTGAACCGTTCAACGTTCAACACGTTTGTTTCGCACCTCTGAATGATTCAGTACTGACTGATTCAGCAAAACAGTGCTGACTGATTTAGCAAAATAGTGCTGAATGATTCAGCACATAAGTACACTCTAAATGATTCAGAGTCATTATCAAACAACATGTCACATTCAGAGCTAATTCATACAGAGCATCTGAATCATTCAGCGCTTAATCATTCTGAAGTAAACAAATAACCCCTAACTCATTGATCCAAAACGAGATAAATTAAAATAATTAAATAATCATTAATCTAAGGAACGACGATAAATCTAACCTTATAAAAATATTAGATAATTTTTAGTTATATTTATATAATTTATTATTGATATTGGATGATAATTTTTAATGGGTTTATAAGTTTAGGGTGATGAGTTCTTTTATTTAAATACCTGTTTTAGGGTTTGTACAGCTAGGCCATGTGGATCCCTACCTATCTTTCGCATTAACATTAAAGTTATAAATTCCCATTAATTAATGAATTAATTAAGCAGTCAACACACCTAATTTAGATAGCTGATATAAAAACTATTTGCACCATCTTATTAATAATCGTTATTTCTTAAAAATTAATTAAATATTTTTTTTATCAAACTTTGTTTTTTTTTATCTGTATAATCCTATGCGGATAGTTAATGACTTGAAATTAACATTTGTGAAATTACTTTGACCTTTAATATTACGGTTATTTTTAAAATTTAAAGTCATTAGCTATCCGCATTGGATTCCAGGGAAAACAATCATCCACTTAGTTCACATAATAGTCTAATAGATGCACGAAAGCTATGCATAGGTGCTTTGTTTACTAGAGGGTTATTACAAGCTATGTATGAAAAAGAAATATCTTCATATTATTAAAGAAACAATAAGCATGAATAGAAAAGATATTAAAGAAAAATCGTTTTCATCATATTTAATTTAAGGAACTCCCAGGAAAAAAAATTGGTGAACCAAGTGGTCCAAATATGGCCCTTTTCCTATAACTCAGAGGGGGTATGTTTGTGCATTTCATTCTCAGATCCTTAATGAGATTTGTTGGGAATTAGGATGTGACACAATGGTGCCATAAAGAATTATTGGTTAAACAACGGAAGACTTTATTATCGTGTACTTTAATATGATGATATAATGACCTTTCAAAACGAGAGTTAAGAATGAACGTAAAATTTATTATATAATTTAATCGTATTAAACTTGGTATGAATGAAAATATTTTGTATAAGAAACATATTTGTAGACATCCGCTTTTGTTCAGGTTATAATTTATTATTATTATATTATCATTATTATTAATAATAATATTAATTAATTAAATTATTACAGACCTATATTTGATTTCAATTAGCTGACCCGAAATCCAAATTTGACCTGATTACAACCCGACCCGGACCCGATTGCAGCCCCACACCATACTACAGCTGCAACCCCATGCCCTGTCAGCCCTGTGCCTGCACGTGATCACCAACGCCAAATCAGCTGCCATCACCAACACTGACCCCAAATCTTATCTCAGACGGATTTCACACTCCTCGGCCAGAACATCAGCTACATGCAAAAATTAATATATCAATAGGGAGCAAGCAATGTAAAAGAAGAGGGAGGGGGTCTCGGTTTACTGAAAAAAAAAGGGAGAGTTTGTAAAAGAAAAAGGGTACTCATATATTCTCTTATTCCTCATTCGAAGCAATGAAAAAACAATATTAGAGAATTTTTAAATATTTAGGGACTGATTTAGTGATTTTATCTTTTTATTTATCAGCACTAAATTTTTAATTTATTTTCTTACAAGTCCCTCTACTTTATGCTTGTTTTTCCATTTCAGTCATTAGTCCTTTGTTTATTTTATTTCTTTGATATTGTTCTCTAATTTGTGATTGTTTTAATTTAGTCACTTTTATGATTTTAGCTTATTTGAATTCATTCACTGATTTTTATTTTTATCCATTTTAGTCACTATTTGTGTTGTGTTTATTATTCTATTATAATTTGGATATGATATCTTCAATTTATGCATTTTAGTCACTGATGGTTTATGATTTGGATATTGTTTTTATTTTTATTTCATTTTAGTCTCATTTCATTTGTTATCTTATTTTTAGAATATTTTAATTTGAGTGTCTTATTTTAATGATTTCATTTTGGTCCTGAATGATTGAAGTTTGTTTATTTACGCTTGTAGTGCTCAAATTGTAAAATATTCACAATGGTTGCCTTTTATTTATTATTGATTGTGTAGTTTAATCCCTAAAATCACTATTCTTTATTATCTTGATCCATTATTTACATATTTTGTTAATTTCTTGCTATTTTTAATATTTTCAAATAGTATTTTACTCGAGGAATTTATAGAAGCGCACCTTAATTGATAAGGAGTGTGTTTCCAAGAATTGTTCGAATAAAATAATACATTTTATATTCTAATGAATTTGTTTGTTTTAATATAATTAATATATGTATTTGGGTAATATTATTTTGTATGGGGAATCCATAGAAATACCCCCTTAACTGACAATGAAGGTATTTCGAGAATTGTTCGTGCAAAATAACAACCTTTATATATTTTTTAAAAAATGATCATAATTTAAATGTATATTCGAATTTGCCAATTTCAATATTTAGATGATATATAATCGATTAGGTACCAATTTTCGGGTGTTGTGGGTGCTAATCCTTCTCCATACACAATTGACTCCCGAACCCTTTTTCAAAATGAATTTATGGTTAAACGTATATCACTTTTTATATTTTAAAATTATTTTTCTTAAAATTATTTTTTAAAAAATAATTTTAAAAGGTATTTTTAGGTATTCGACATACCTAACTCAAAGATCGATGACGACTCCAAATCTATTTATTTTTTCTTTATTTAAAACCCAACCTTTTCCAAGACTAAGTTGAATCGATCCCCGCCATAGCTCCAAAAAACATAAGGACCGCTCCGACAATATTTATAAAACGTGATTTAATAAATAATATGTTTAGTGATAAAAATTTGTATTTGAGTTTATTGATTTTTTTGTTCAGTACTCAATAGATGGTTTTTAATCGAGTTATTCATAGATTGGATAAAATATAAAAAAATAAAACTATTTTTCTAATAATATTAATTTCTATTCAAAAATGAATATTTTAATTTTCATAATTAAATTGATATTCACTTATTTGGTGATGCAGCAAACATTTTATTAACGGTATAAATATAGTTTTTTTTTTATTAATTACTACTGCTATGGTAATAAAGTATATGGAGAAGCTATAAAAGCAAAAGCATGCGTGTACGGGAAAGCATTGGTCCTATATTAAATTATAAATGTTAAATTTTAAGATTTGAAACGTTTGATCTTAAACGGACACTAAAATAAACATAATTAAATCTTAAACTATAAACCCAAGTAAGACATTGAATTCAAATATTAAGTCTTAAATTTTAATTCATTTAGTTAGTATATCAGATATTTTTCTAAAAAATATTATTTTATTTGGAATTTGAGAAAAATAATAATAATATACAATTAAATAAAATATTTATCTTTAAAACGTAATATTTTATTAGTGTATGTAGTTATTCATTATCGGACTCTTAAATTTGACTATAATATAGAAGATTCACCTAATAAAAAATAAATTAACAGCAGAATTAAAATAAAGCAAGACAAAAGAGTGTTACATATTCTTTGCTTGCCTTTTAGGAAACGAACTTCAAACCTCGAAGCCCCATGTGCTTAACAATCTTTGAAAATATATAAATATAAAATTGTTCACGAACCATGTGAAAGTGAAACCCTATATTATAAACTAAAATCATTTGTTTAGAGACAATTTATTTATCCAATGGGTTTATAAACTAAATTCTTGTTCAGATTCTACATTTAACTCATTTATTGATATAATAATATATTTTTTAATAATTTGATGATTACAATATAGTATGATCTTAGATTTTTTTTAACTATTACAACGTACATATACCTTGTAGACGTAATTACTTGAACTCAAAACATCAAAAGAAGATAAAACTCACTACTGAGATAGCTTAATTAGGTCTTAATCAAATAATATTTTTAAAAATATTGATATATATGTATGCATCATGTTAATGATGTTTTTGTTAAGTTGAGTGATAAAAAAATATTTCTTAAATATTATCTTA